TCTATATATCTATCTATCTATCTATCTATCTATCTCTATCTCTATCTCTATCTCTCTCTCTCTGTATCTCTCTCTCTTTCTCTCCCTCCATCCCTCCCTTCCTTCATTCCACTCTCTCTAAAAATAAACCAATGGAAAAAACATCTTTGGGTGACCATTAACAACAACAAAAAGAGGAAAAACAAATGGGATACTATAGACAGGGAAATAGAGATATACACACCGATTAATGCATAAATAAAAGCTATTTTCACCAAAAGAAATCTGGGAAAAAATCCAAATTCATCAATGAGAAAAAGTTATATCTGAGGCTATTATGAAGGTAATTAATATAAGAATTACCTATGGAACATCTGAACCACTCTCTTCAACCCCTCAGAGTATACAGGGATGTTGGCAGGAATTATTTATTCTCCAATGATAAACCCCCCACCCCTCGCCCCCAATTATCAGAGTTCTAGCACTGTAGGTTGGAGCTAGATTTTTTTTTTTTTAAAAGCATGTCATTCCAGGCCTGAACAAGAGTTAGAGTTAATTAAGAAAAAGAAAAAGAAAAAGAAAAAAGGCAGCTCTACCCAGGAATGAAATATGTCTTCAAAATAAACTCCTTTAGGGACAGACTTACTCATAGCCTACCACCAGCCTCCCATTTAGAGTAGAGACTTGTTGGAGAAAAAAATCTACCTAATTGCAGAAGAAACCCCATACTTTACCATACTAGATCACTTTACCAATCACCATAATTATTAATTAAGCATTTTAAAGTAAATATAACAGAAAGCTTAGGACTATCAGACATTTAAGGAAAGCTAACAGCATAAATAAAAAGAACAAAATGTGCAATAACAGAACAGACACTAGGAGAAACAAAGATAATGCATGGGCTAGAAGAAAACTTTCAGAGTATTCTAATTACTGTCCTCTGAAAGATGAGAGGATATTGCAACCAAAAATACCCATAAAACAAGAGTTCTTGCAAGTAATTTCCCCTTTTCAATTTTACTTCTTTATTTTTTAATTATAATTTATCTAAAATGTTAGTTTCAGCCAAAACCGGTTTGGCTCAGTGGATGGTGCACCAAAAGGTTGCTAGTTTGATTCCCAGGCAAGATCACATGCACAAATTGCAGGCTTGATCCCCAGTAGTGGGTGTGCAGGAGGCAGATGATAACTCACATCAATGTTTCTCTCTGCCACACCCTTTCTCTCTAAAATCCAATAAACTACATATATATACTAAACTACATACACACTCCCCCCACCCCCACACACACATATATATACTAGTGGCCTGGTGCATGGATTTGTGCACATTGAAAGGAAATTAATTAGAATTCCTGGGGTGGCACCGTGGTTCGAAGGGTGTCTGCAGAGTGAGCAGGAAAAGAAAAAGAGAAGAAAACTCATGCTCTAGTTTTCTGGCTCGGCCTGGTACTGGCTCTGGTGCAGGGACTAATGCAGGCAGTCCCTGGTGGTGGCTGAGTGGGGCAGGACTGGGCTAGAGGGCCAGACATGCCCTGGAGCCAACCTCCCGCAGTTCCTCCCTGGCTGGCTGCACCTGGGGCAACACCACTGGAAGGGAGTCTTGGAGTGAGCAGGTCCCTTGGCCTGGCCTGAGGGGATTGGGCTGAACCAGCTGTCTGACATTCCCCAAGGAATCCTGGAGTGCAAGAGAGCACTCTGCAAAGTTGCTGTAATACAGGGTGTGGCACACAAATGCAAGTGTGCGGTAAACCAGATTTGTGTCCAGGAACAACATAACCCACGACCAAAGGTGGAATTGGGCTCCCTCCTCTCTGGTTCAGAGTGCATCACCTGAGAACCGCAGCTGCCAAGTCATTGCAGCTCAGCAGCTCCTGTGTTAAGCATCTGCCCCTTGGTGGTCAGTACTCATCATAGGTACTGGCTGGTCAGACGACTGGATCGTCACTTAGCCTTTTATATATATAGGTGTGTGTGTGTGTGTGTGTTAGTTGCAGGTGTACATATGTAACCAATGAAGAAAAAGAATGAATTAGAGATATGAAGAAAGAGAGGCAGGAAACAAGGAAGAGATAAAAAAGATGATAGGGAGAGAGAGAATGAAAATATCTAAAGTGGAATAGAAATAATAGAAAATTTAATATGAGAGAAAAGTTAAGAAATCTGGAAGTGAAGACATATCTAAGAAGACCAACATCCACTAAAAGTGAGCAACAAATGGGTAGAATAGAGTATGCTGTGAGAAAAAATAAAGAAGTAATAGGTATTTTCCTGACTTGAAGAAAGACTTTAATGAAATAACTGAAAGAGTTCACAAAGGGTCAAACAAGAAAAAATGAAAAAACACCAGGATACATATAAGAAAATTCTAAAACCCCAAGGTAAAAAGATTGTCCTAAGCTTCCAGAAAGAAAACAAAAACCAAGTTTCCTACAAAATAAAATAACCTGAAATCAGACCTCTCATAAACAGCACTATATGTAGAACAATGTGAAACAATGCTTTCAAAGTTCAACTAATTAAAATATAGGGTAAAATAAATATGTTTTAATTATGAAAAGGACTCAAAAATTTCAGAAAACATCAATGAAAAAAAATTCAGAACATACTCCAGAGAAATGAAATGGAAATCCAAGAAAATAGGAAGACAAAGGATACATGAAAAAATACTGAACCCAAAAACAAAGTAAAACACAGCTAGAATGAAATTACTGCTGGCAATTGGCTGAAGGGTTCAAAGAACTTATAAGAAAGTAGTTCTTTTAAAAGTAGAGACATAATATTAAAAGCAATAAATAACAACCAGATATAATAATCAGTGATTTCAATAATACATGAAAGATGAAGACAAGAAATGCAGCAGTAAAACATGCTAAGAGTCTTAACCTCTTTGGGGAAGGGAAAAATAATAAAACCAAATTCATCTTCAGTGTTCATAGGAAAACAGGAAGATTAAAGTTTCTTCTGAATTTAAGAATAACCAACAAAATAATTAAAATTAGAATATATATCCTCCAAACAATTGAAGAGGAGAAAAGAAAAACAAAATTCAGTAAAATCAATGAAAAAAACACCAGCAGGACAAAAAGAAATACCTACCATATGATCCAGATATTCCACTCTAGGTATTTACCCAAGAGAAAAGAAAGCATATGTTCATACCAAGAAGACATATGTTCATAGCAGTTTTATCTGCAGTAGCCAAAAACTGGAAACAATTCAGATGTTTAACAATGGGGAAATGTACAAACAAATTGGAGTAGATGCATACAGTGGAATATTATTACTAGGTAATAAAGAGCCAGGGAGTCTGCCTGCCTCCTGTTTTTGTACAGTTCATGAGCAAAGAATAGCTTTTACATTTTTAAATGCAAATTGGATTTAAAAAATCAAAAGAAAAATTATATTCTATGAAATTTCTATAAAATTCAAATTCCAGTATCCATAAAGTTTTATTGAAACACAGCCATCCATGCTCATTTATTCACTTGTTGTCTATGGCTGCTTTTACTCTACAACGTCATTATTAAGTTGATGCAACAGAGTCCATATGGCCTGCAAAACCTATAATATTTAGGTATTGTCCTAAGCTTCCAGAAAGAAAACAAAAACCAAGGTAATAAAGATGCAGCTAAAATAATACCTAAGGGAATTGTTTTAGCCTTCAAAGTTGAAAATTAATTAGCTAAGCATCTATCTGAAAAAAGTTAGAAAAATGAAGTCAAAGTAAGCCCATAAAAATAGAAGGGAGAATAATAAATGTGAGTAGCAATTAATAAAATAAAAAATGAATTCACAATGGTAAAAATCAGCAAGATTTGATTATTTTCAAAGAGCAATAAATGCCATTACTTGCAAGATAAGTTACAAATAATTCAAATCAGGAATGAAATACTAAAAACACTGCAGCTATGAAACAAATAATAAAATATTGTGAACAACTTTATGGCAATATCTTTGAAAATTAGAGGAAATAGAAAACTTTTCCTAGGGAAATATATAATTTACCAAAATTGACTCAAGACGACGTATAAAATCTGCACTGTCCTATGAACAACAAATAAATTAAACCAGCAGTTGAAAATTCTCACAAAGCTCTAGCTCTCTGATGGCTTTCTCAGTGAGGCCTTTGAAAGTTCCTACTAGTACTATTTTACAAACTTACCCAGAGTACAGAAAAATAAGAAACACACAAAAATAGTTTTATAGAAGAGGAGATAACTTCAGTAGCCTGATAATGTGAAAAGGGCCAAAGAAAAAGGAGAATGAGCATAGATGAAAAATTGTATAAAAATATTACCCCCCAAAACTAGATGTATACAAAATACAATATGTGATAGACAATCTGAGTTTATTCCAGAAATGTAAGGTTGTTTAACTTCGAAAAATCAATCAATGTATTTAATTATATTAACAGACTGAAGGAGCTACATATAAACAAATGCCCAAAAACCATATAATAAAATTCAACACCCACTCCAAATTAAAAAAATTAAAACAATCTCTTAGCAAAGAAAGAAAATATATGGGAAAGCCCTTAATATTATAAGGGCTTAATATTATACTCTTTAATATTATAAAGAGTATCTCAAAAAACACTACAGTAAACTTCATACTTAATGATAAAACAATGAAAACTTTCCCTTTGAGATCAGGCACAAGACAAGAGTACCTACAATCACCACCACTGTTCAGCAATGAACTGGAAGTTAGATAGCAAGGGCAATAAAGCAAGAAAAAGAAAAGTATAAAGATTGAAAAGAAGGCAAAAAAAACTTATTTACAAATGATGTAAGTGCAATAAATAGAAATTACAACCTAGATCAATTATTAGAATTAATGAGAGTTTAAGCAAGGTTGCTGGATACTTACTATACAGAAATTAACTGTATTTTTATATACCAGCAACAAATCAGAAATGAAATGTTTTACAGAAGATAACACTGATGGTAACATTTAAAAAATAACATGTAACCAGGAATAAATCTTATAAAAGATATGCAAAATCTTTAGGGAAAATTTGCTTCAATAAACAGTTATTAGCTATCCATAAGGGTAAACATGTTAAGAAATCCTTACCACAAACCAAACAAAAAAATCAATTAATGATCTTAATGCAAAAAGGAGACTCTAAAGCAGCAGTTCTCAACCTGTGGGTCGCGCCCTCTTTGGCAGTCGAAGGACCCTTTCACAGGGGTCGCCTAAGACCATCCTGCATATCAGATATTTACATTACGATTCATAACAGTAGCAACATTACAGATATGAAGTAGCAACGAAAATAATTTTATGGTTGGGTCACAACATGAGGAACTGTATTTAAAGGGCCAGAAGGTTGAGAACCACTGATCTAAAGAATGCGGATTTAGCGCTAGCTTCTTTGGCTCAGTGGATAGAGTGTCAGCCTGTGGACCAAAGGGTCTCATGTTCGATTCCGGTCAAGGGCGGTACTTTGGTTGCAGGCTCCTCCCTAGCCTGAGCCCTGATTGCCTTGTGCAGGAGGCAACCAATCGATGTGTTTCTCTCACATCGATGTTTCTCTCTCTGTCTTTCCCTCTCTCTTCCACTCTCCTTAAAAATCAATGGAAAATTATCCTCAGGTGAGGATTAACAATAACAACAACAATAAAAATGGGGGGAGAGGGCGGGATGAGGAGTTAGCCAAAGGAAAGAAAGATGAAAAAGCATAGATTTATGGCTAACATATGTCCCATATATTATATTAAAAGGCTTTTCAAATGAATATGAAAAAGATGGACACCCCGGGTGGCAGAGGGAGCAGTATTATGTTTTCAAACAATATGAAAACAGAATTATGTTTTCAAAATTCATTAGCAGGATGTGAAAATTCTAATTGTTACCTTATGGCTTGCCTTTCTTGATCGACATATCTTATTTGTGATGCAAGCATAGTTTTGTGAACCTTAATTTCTTCAGTTCGTTCTTCCATAGTTGTTTGTAATTGCTGCTTTCTTTTTTCCAGAGAAAGAACTTCTTCTGCTTTACTGTGAAGCAATTCACGAGCACGTTTAGCTTCAAGTTTTAAAAGACTGTCTTCAATCATCAAGTCCTATCATAGTCAAATATTGAAAAATTATTTTTATACCCAAACCAAAATATTTTTCTTTATTACTGCTACAAATGTCAAACTTGAAAACATAACTTTTTTCTGATTTGACGATTGACCAAGATGTTAACTAAGGTTAAATTTAGATTGCTCTGAGTCATGACTCTGGTTTTCCTTTGCTTTTTTTTTTCCTCTTCCTTTTTATTTCTGTCCTTTTCACTTAAAAAAAATTATAGCCATTCCAAGTCTTTTACTATAATTCAATCCTAAATTCAAGTTTTATTAAAGAAAAAAAGGAAAAAATTATTCCTAAAATTGAAACTGAAAATATATAAAGCTCTGTGGGTGAGCATTTTTACTTTCTAAACTGAATCTCATAAAATGATATGTAATTAAATTTTTATTTTAAAACAATTCCATCATGAGTAGAGTCCTGATAAAAAGTGTACAGATAATTTTCAGAATAGAAAGCCCAGAAACAAACACTCGAGAATACAAGATTTTTACTATTTCAAAAATATAGTTTTTTAGTTGGAGAAAAGATTATATCCCTACATTTCATATGTACCAAAAATAAATTCCAGATGAGTAAAAAAAAAACTTAATGCAAGAGATAAAAATAATGCCGCTATTAGAAATAGCAAGTATTTGTTTGATTTATATATGACAAAGAAGTTTCTAAACATAACATTTATACAAGGAAAAGCACTTAAATGTTTGATGTTTAAAAAACTTTAATGTCAAAAAACTAAATAAAGCTCTAACCGGTTTGGCTCAGTGGATAGAGCGTCGGCCTGAGGACTGAAGGGTCCCAGGTTCAATTCCAGTCAAGGGCATGTACCTTGCTTGCGGGCACATCCCCAGTAGGGGGTGTGCAGGAGGCAGCTGATCGATGTTTCTCACTCATCAATATTTCTAACTCTATTCCTCTCCCTTCCTCTCCGTAGAAAATCAATAAAATATATTTAAAAAACTAAATAAAAATTTAAAGACAAATGGAAAAAATATTGGCACTATTTAAGGCAAAATTAATATTTTTACATATGAAGATCTTTTGCAAAGCAATTAAAAAATATAAACCTCCTAATGGAAATATGGGCCAAGAACATAAACCTGAAAGCAAAAAATAAAAATTGTGGAACATCTTATATAATAAAACCTTAATATGCAAATTGACTGAATGACAGAACAACTGGCAGAACGACCGGTCACCATGATGCACACTGACCACCGGGGGCAGATGCTCAATGCAGGAGCTGCCCCCTGGTGGTCAGTGCACTCCCACAGGGGGAGTGCTGCTCAGCCAGAAGCTGGGCTCATGGCTGGCAAGTGCAATGGCGGTGGCAGGAGCCTCTCCCACCTCCGCAGCAGTGCTAAGGAGCAGCAAGCTGAGCGGTAAGGAGCGAGGGGTTCTAGACCAGCCATGGGCAAACTACGGCCCGTGGGCAGGATCATAAAACTATTGAACAAAAAAAACTGTACCCTTTTATGTAATGATGTTTACTTTGAATTTATATTAGTTCACACAAACACTCCATCCATGCTTTTGTTCTGGCCCTCCGGTCCAGTTTAAGAACCCATTGTGGCCCTTGAGTCAAAAAGTTTGCCCACCCCAGTCTAAAAGGACCTAGACTGTGAGAGGGCACAGGCTGGGCTGAGGAACCCCTCACCCAGTGCACAAATTCCATGCACTGGGCCTTTTAAATATAATAGTATATTTAAAAGAAACTGTTTTAAACATTTTTGTTTAAACACTAGGGGTCCAGTGCACGAGTTCATGCACCTTGAAAGGAACTGTGGACCGCGGGGCTACAGTGGGCACAGAGGCGGGTCTCAGCACATCCTCTGCACCCCCGTTCAGCCCCTCCTGCTGGGGCCCCTGGTCCCTTGTCTGCTGGCAGCCCTGCTCCTGCCACCACTGCTCCCATGAGCTGATGGTGCCAGCCCCGCTCGCAGAGTGATTGGGGCCGGCACCAGCAGTGGGTACGAGCGGGGCCAGTGCTGTCAGCAGGAGTGAGTGGTGGCTGTTGCCCTGATCGCCCTCAGGAACAGGAAGAGGGGAGAAGCCCTCAGGGGCAATTGGGGCCGGCAGTCGCTGCTCATACCTGCTGATGGTGCCGAGCGATCGGGGCCGGCACCAGGTGCTGGCAGCAAGTGCAAGCATGCCTGCAGTAGGTATGAGCACTGGGCCAGACGGTGGCATGTGGGAGCAAAGAATTTTCAGTAACCACCTGAAGCTGGCCCTGATGACAGCAACTGGTGCCCCGCCTTGGTCTGGCGCCCTCGCTCACCTGCTCCACCATCTGCCACAGTAAATGCCTGCCATGTTCCGCATGCACCCCCTGGTGGTCAGCACACGTCGTAGTGACTAGTCATTTGGTTGTTCTGCCCTATGGTCTATTTGCATATTAGCCTTTTATTATATAGGATATTTTAAATTTTATTTTTAAACATAAAGTGTTTCAAAATGTCACAAAGTTTAAAAATGCAGACTTGCCGAAACCGGTTTGGCTCAGTGGATAGAGCGTCAGCCTGCAGACTGAAAGGTCCCAGGTTCGATTCCGGTCAAGGGCATGTACCTGGGTTGCGGGCACATCCCCAGGAGGAGATGTGCAGGAGGCGGCTAATCGATGTTTCTCTCTCATTGATGTTTCTAACTCTTTATCTCTCTCCCTTCCTCTCTGTAAAAAATCAATAAAATATATTTTAAAAAATAAATAAATAAATAAAAATGCAGACTAAAAACAATGAGAGATCATGTATGACCATCAAATTGACAATAATTTTATCAACTGTAAGATCCAGCTTTGATGGTGGTAAGTAAAATAGGATGCTTACACATTGCTACTGGGAATATTAATTGAACCCTCTAGAAGACAATTGGACTTAAACATAGTTTTAAGATACTGAAAATATTCATTCTTTTTCAACCTTAATTATACAGGTGGAGATTTATCGTAAGGAACTAACTGAACAACTGTACAATGATATATGTGCATAGAACATGATAATACTATTTAAAATAGTCAAATACTAGAAACAATTATAAATCCAAAAAATAAGAGATTGCCCAAGTAAATTATAGTAACTTTGTGCAATGGACTGTGGAAAGACTTCAAAAAATTTTTTTCCTGGTCACTACAAGGTCATATTTTTAAAAATTATCTTTATTGCTGGAAGTATTACAGATGTCCCTTCGTTTTTTTGTCATTTTTCCCCCATTGACCTGCTCCATCCCACACCTGCCCTTCCCAAGCCTTCACCACACTATTGACTGTGTCTGGGGGCTTTGTGTATCTTATATAATAAAAGGCTAATATGCAAATTGTCCCCTCAACTGGGAGTTCAACTGGGAGTTTGACTAGGGGGCAGGGCCAGCCCACCACTCACCTGTGGCCCCTCCTCCCGGCTGGCCCAGACCCCGATCCCGCCCCCCCCACTCTGATTGCAGGGCCAGCCGACCAGACCCCACCTGTGCATGACTTTTTGTACTGGGCCTCTAGACTAAAACGCACATTGTACCCATGGGAGTTTGACCAGGAGATCCATCGCTTGCTATTACACACTGACCACCAGGGGGAGGCACGGAATGAAAGAAGGCCCCAGATGTCAGTCAGAAGGCCCGGATAGGCCCTGATTGCCGGCCATGCCTAGGGACCCTACCCATGCTCGAATTTCATGCATTGGGCTTCTAGTATGTATATAAAATCTTTGGTAAATCTCTCCCCCCATCCCCATCTCCTTTACCCCCATCTTCCTCTGAAATTTGTCAGTCTGTTCCATGTTTCTGTGTCTCTAGAATATTTAATGTTTTGGAAGCATGTATAATATATTAACAAATTTTAAATACAATATATATAGCAAATTTTCTTTGAGACTGGAGAGAAATAATGTATTTTAACACTTTAGTGACTTACTGTCTTTTTCAAATGTTGCTATGTTTTTTAAATTTTCCTATATTGAGCCTGAAAACATGTAGATTTTATTATATACTCATATTATTTTACTGTACCTGCTTCAAAGCTCGAGCTTTACTAAGTTCTTTCTCTGATCTTTCATTGAAAAGGTTTAGTTCATTTATTTTGGTCATGAGGGACTTTTTTTCATCAAAATTTTTACTGTTTGACATCTTGATAAAGTAAAGATCATTCTGTAAGAAGGAAAACAGGTACACAAATATGTTTTTAAATAGCAATATTAAATACATACTATTAAACATCTTACATTAAATTATGTGCTCCATTAAATATTAAAATAAATCAGATTTTTAAAGTCTTATTATTTATGCTGTAACATCTCTAATATAATATTTATGGATATTAACATAAATTTTTTTTCATTTTTATCATCTACAGTGGGGCCTTGACTTACGAGTGTCCTGACTAATGAGTTTTTCAAGATACGAGCCATCTCTCGGCCGATTTTTCTCTTTGAGTTGTGAGCTAAAATTCGGGTTACGAGCTCTCTGCCACTTGGCTTGCCGTTGCATCGGTTTGAATGTATATTGGCTATCCTGAAAGGGGACTGTGTGGGGTGAACCCCAAAAGTAAAGGGTGTCTAGCTGCCAAGAGGGCAGGTACCCAACTGGGCAGGGAAGAGTGCCCATCAGGTTTTGGTCTCTGTTGAGAGACAGTTAATGGTTGGCAGCCTATATACTGTCTTGCAGGCCTGCGTAACCATGCCCATGTCAGGGGTAGTACAAACCTCAACTGTAGAAAGCTGGGAAAGGCCTGTTTGGAATAGAAGGTCTGAGGCATGGTTATGCATAAAAAGAAGGTTTTATGCCAACAGTTACTGTTTTGTTATAAATCCATGAAAAGGAATTGGCAAGGCAGATCAGTATGTTTTTCTCCTTATGTTTTCCTCCGAAATTTGGCAATGCTAAATATGTCATGGCAATACATTTCTTTGCATATATTCAATAAGACTGGTTCCTAATAATGGTTTTATTAACAGAAAACTTTGACTGGAGTATCATGTTTTAAAGAGCCCTGTCTGAGCTCTAAAGACTTATAGCCAGTAAGAATGCCACGAAGAAAGCCTGGTATCCTGATTGGAAGCCCTGAAGATGGCTGGCGCTGGAGCATCAGGCCCATGCCCTACCATCACTGGCAGTTGGTAAGAGTAGAAGGGGAGCAGTAAAGATGCCTCTGCATCCCTGCGGAACCCCCACACACTCTGGGCCACAACGAATAGGAGGGATACTAAGATGGGCCTTAAAGCCTGGAGCATGGGCTCAGGTGGAGTTGCTACAGGTGAAGGATTCACCTAACTCAGCAGGTACTGCAGGCAGGCCTGATGGCAATAATCAATGGTAATGTTGCATTTTTATAGAAATATGGATATCAGTTCATACGTTTATTATATATGTGTGTAGCTTGGCAATCACCTATCCAAAGTTAAGTCTTAAGAACATGTTCTCTTAAAACAGAATGACTAATGACTAGCATATTTGAAGCATAAAAAGTGTTTTTGGATAAGTTACATGAAGCTTCTTGATCTGTGTTTCCAAAGTGCCAAATGTAGAATTTCTCTCTTCCAACGTCTCTTTAAGTTCAACAATTTTTACTTGAAGACCTTGTTTTTCTTCTGAATTAATTTCTCCCCTTAACCGTGACATTCGGCGTTGCACTTGTTGAATGTGAAAATCCTGTTACAGTTTATTAAAATAAGTTAGTAAGGAGAAACAAATGGTGAAAAATATTTCTACAACTATAAAGACACGGTAAAGACCTTTTTATCAGTTGGCCTAGGTGTCACTTTAAGCCTTCAATAATTTACAGGATAAAATCCTTCTTACCCTAAAGAGAGAAACACTAACCTATTCTTCAACAATCAGGGTACATGGTAGTGACATATAAGTAATCTGAAAATATAACAAAGTCATGTAGGGAGCTATTTATTGTATTACCATGATGGAACCTCAGTAAACCCACTGGATATACATGGACATACATTTTTGAGGATACATTTTCAAAAGGAGATGCAAAATAATAATAATATAGTCATGAGTTGTTAGTCATAAAAAAAACAAAACTTGAAATGAATTATTTTTTTAATTAAGCTTTAGCATCTGTAATTTTGAGAAACTAAAAATATATTAGATAGGGAGATTAAGATGTACAGAGGGAGGACATTAAGAGATTAATGAGACAGAACAAATAAATAGAAAAAATAAGGAAAAACTGAAAAAAATACTTTTAACATATTTGTCTATGTGTGGGGATGAGAAAGCCTATGTCCCAATGTCCACACAACTAAAACATCAACATATAGTTTTTCTAGGCTTCAGATGTCCAACTCCTTGTTTTGTTTTACTCTATGTTCAATTGCCCCAGGTTCCTTTAAAGCATGGTTCTCCCTCACAAGAGTTGCCTGTCCTCTTACCTGTTTATTTCCGACAGAGAAAAAAAAAATAGCATTTAAGGCTTCCTCACCCTACTAGTGACCTAGCATGAAATCCCATCTTCAATATCTGTCTATCCCTCAAAGAGTGCTTAGAAATTTTTGTTTTCCCGTAGCACTGTAGTATCTTGACCATCACAACTATAACAAGTCAATATTCATAAGATATTCATAAGAGTAACATCTACCTGACTGTACATAATTTCTTGCTGCTTCAAGGTTTCAAAATCCAGTTTATGTAGCTGTTGGTTGAGGCGCTTTAGAGAGGAACGGGTTCCTTCAATTTCTGATATAAGAGATTTTTCTTTCATTGTCTCAGTCTGTAATTCATGACCTATCTTAAATAGCACACCTTTCAATATGGTCAATTGAATTTCTACTTCCTGGTGATAAGAATAATAGTGGTTAGTGAAATTTTGATACCGTAAATATTTTATTTTATAAACAGTATAATGTAGGGGGCTCATAAATGAACCCTCAACATTTTAGCTCTTGAGATATAAAGGCCTCCCACAATTTCAACACATCCCCAACATTTCTTATAGTCTACTCTATGCTAGTAGACTAGAATAGTAGTTTTCTATTCTTGTATCATGTACCTTGATCTGTTATTCCACCCTAACCTTAGAACTAGGGATTCCACTGGTTTCCTTAGAAAACAGAATATAAATTCATGTTTACGGAAGTCTTGAGGGTATTATAGGGAAGAAATTACATCATTCAATCTCCCACCTTCTTTGGGGCACAAATTAAGAAATATAATCTGATATAATCATATAAAATCCATTATTTTTCATATAACAGACACTTTTTATTGGGTTTAATACCTTCTCAAAGATTGCCTAGCAGAGTTTTCAAGTTAGTGCTTGGTGGTGAATAACACAGCACATCTCCAAAACACATAGGGTTGGGATTTTTCCAAACAGACACAAAATCCAGTGGCTATAAAAATCAAGATTCTGAACACAGCCCTGCTAGAGCACAATTAGTACAGATGCTACAATCTTATTTTTTTCAAATTCAGCTAATTTCTTTTAAAATGTCACTAGTTTTTCATTCTGTTGCCCAAAAGTCTATTTCAAGTGAATTTTACCATTTTTACAGATTTCTGATAAGTTTTAATACTGTCCCATCTCAGGTGCTACAGAAAATCATTTTCTTGGAAGAAAAAATTAGGTTAAAAAAATAATGTTGGATTCAGACACCACCCAAGTCAACTGCTGCATGACTTCATTACTCAGGAATTTTAAAAGCACAACACACTGAGGAAGCAGATTCTGTCCAAATACGAGTGAAACCATCCTTAATATAAACCTCAGCAAATGAGGGACTTTTGCCACCATCTTCAACTACCCTTCTGCTTCACACACACACACACACAAGTTAAAAGCCTGGTAGGTGTGGCTTAGAGTTTGAGCAACAACCCATGAACCAAGTGGTTGTTGGTTCGATTCCCTGTCAGGGCACATGCCTGGGTTTTGGGCTCAATCCCCTTTAGGGTGTGCATGGATGATGCTTCTCTCTCATCAATGTTTCTATCTCTCTATCCCTCTCCTCTCTCTCTAAAAAGTAATAAAGGCGGCTTTTTTATTAAAAAAATGTTAAAAGCAAGAAATAGTGCCTACAGTGTCAGGTCATACAGTCACTTTGAAATTTTCAAAGAGGAAATTTAACCTCTTCCAGTTCCTCAAACATTGGATTTAATGCTACCAACATGCCAAAGAGATTAAGGTAGAGGGAGATGTCAAGAAGGTTAGTAAAATAATAGCATTTAAGAGCCCATTTACTGATAAATGATGCCAGACTCTACGAGGTTAAAAAGATAGCAGTAGCACATGGTGAAGAAATACAGCTAATAAATGTAGACCATTGGGGGGGAATTTACACATAAAAAATGATAATCATATAGAAATCAATTGTAAAACAAGGGCACTTTTCAAGATACATTTGCAATATGAGAACACTAGAGGCCTGATGCATGAAATTTGTGCAAGAGAAGGCCTTCCTTCCCCCGGCTGCCAGCACCAGCTTCCCTCTGGCACCCGGGACTTAGGCTTCCCTCCGGCACCCAGAACCCAGGCTTCCCTCTGGCAGCCCACGGGCACCCGAGACCCAGGCTTCCCTTGTAGCCCTGGCTTTGTCCACAAGGTCGTCCAGAAGGCAATTAGACTGGATGTCCTTCCGGACGACCTTGCAGACAAAGCGGGGGCTACGAGGGAAGTCTGGGTCCTGGGGGCCAGAGGAAATCTGGTGCCGGCAGCCAGGGGAAGGAAGGCCTACTCTTGCACGAATTTTGTGCATTGGGCCTCTAATATATATATAATAGATGACAAGCAGGGACATGGACACACTAGGCATTGGGAAGGCATGGAATCTAAGATACAGGAGCTATCTTTAAAAGAAGATATCAAGCCCTAGCTGGTTTTGCTCGATGGTTATAGCATCAGCCTGGGACTGAAGGGTCTAGGGTTCCATTCCAGTCAAGGGCACATACCACAGTTGCCGTCTCAATCCTTGACCCTGGTCGGGAAGTGTGTGGGAGGCAAGCAATCAATGTGTCCCACATGGGTGTTTCTCTCTCTCTGTTTCTCCCCCTCCTTTCTACTCTCTAAAAATCAGTGGCCCGGGGTGGGGTTGGGGGAGAATATATCCAGGTGAGGATTAACAAAAGAAAAAAAAGAAGAAGACATCCAAATTAAATGCTGAAAATGAAGCAAATGGAGGATCAGGAGCTTAAGAAGAGAGCAGTCACCAAGAGCCACAGAAGCAATAAAAAGAGGACCAACAATGCTGATTACAAATGTCATCACCAGAAAGCAGAGCCTCTTAAAAGACTTCCTACTCCTCTGATCTCAGGAATCTAATTCATTCACTATTGCTGAATGTGCTGTGATCTTTTAAATGGGAACTACACTTTACCTTCACACTTTTTTCCTCCTCCTTTAGTATATCTTCCAAATTGGTAGCTTTCTCTTCTGCTGACATAGTTTTCTCAGTTATCTGCTCTAAATTTTCTTTTGCATTCTCATTAGATTTTTTAATTCTTTGTAACCTAGAAAGAGTTTATAATTAAAATACAGAAAACATGTCTAGAGGTATTGAATGCGAACAAACAAGGAATAGTTTGTCCTACAATTTTTTCGTATAACTTCATGTTATATGAAAAAATTTTACCATAAGCCATTTTATTACCAATACATAGTTAATATGCCATAAAAATATTACTCCTGAGCCTCTGTGATGAAACACCTGTGACATTTTTAAATTTAATAATTTAGTAGCTATAATTTTATAGCTATTTAACAAAAAAATATGTTTCTAGAAGTAAATTAAGAACTACAAATATATTTAAACATCTTTTTTCTTACCTTGTTGTTTCTCCCTCAATATCCTTCTTTATTTTGGAAGTATTTTTCCTCAGAGCTTCTACTTCACTGGAACTTCTATTCACAGTGGCTTTTAAAACATCCAGCTATTTATTAATTAACAGACAGAAAGTACATATTTACTCTGTATTTTATAAATTAATTTCATTTCCAAAAATTCCTTTTTGAAGCACTTTAATTTCTAACCTTCATCATTCCCATAAACACAATAACCATATTGCTATAATACATATTAACAGTTTTTCTTTTTGAACTAATATTACAGTTTAAACTGCTTGTATAATACTGGCAAATTATAAAGACCCACATATATGTGTTTAAAATACATTAGAGCAAAACTTCACAACATTGGATTTGACAATGATTTCTTGGATGTGACACTAAGGGCACAGAGAACAATTAAAAATTAGACAAGTTGGACTTCATTAAAATTAAAAACTTTTGTGCATCAAAAGACAATATCTACACAGTAAAAAGGCAATCAACAAAATGAAAGAAAATTTGCAAATCAATATGTGATAAGGGATTAATATCCAGGATGTATGGAGATCTCCTAAAACTCAACAACAACAAAAGATTAAAAACTGGGCAAAGGGCCTAAATATACATTTCTCCAAAGAAGACATACAAATAACCAAAAAGCACATGAAAATATGCTCTACATCATTAACCATTAGGAAAATGCAAATCAAAACTACAATAAAATTCCACCTCACACCCACTAGGAGGGCTGCTATAAAAGATAACAATAACTAGTATTGGTGAAAGTGTGGAGAAATTAACCCTGTTGGTACAGCCACTGTGGAAAACAGTATGACAGTTTCTCAAAAAATTAAAAACAAAATTACCATATGATCCAGCAATTGTGAGGTAACTGTATACCCATGTTCATAGCAGCATTATTCATAATAGCTAAAAAATGGAAACAACCCAAGTGTCCATGGACAGACGAATGGATAAGCAAAATGTGGTATACACATACAATGGAATAGTATCCAACCTTAAAAAGAAAGGAAATTTTGACATATGCTGCAACATGGATGAATCTTGAGGACATTATACTAAATGAAATAAGCCAGTCACAAAATACTGGATGATTCCACTTATGTGAGGTACTTAATGTAGTCAAAATCACAGAGACAAAATAGAATGGTAGTTACCAGGGAATAGTAGAAGGGAGGAATGTGGAGCTATTGTTTAGTGGGTACAGTTTTATTTTTACAAGAAAAAAAAAGTTATGGAGATAGATGGTGCTGATGGCAGTACAACATTAGGAATGTATTTAATACCAGTAAGAATACTTATAATGGTTAAGATGGGGGAGAACCAAGATGGTGGCATAAGTAAATGCCAGTACTCGCTGCCTCCCACAACCACATCAAATTACAACAACTAAAATACAGAACAACCATCATTCAGAGCCACCTGAAATCTGGCTGAATGGAAGTCCTGCAACTAGAGAAGTAAAGAAAGCACATGGAGATTGGTAGGAGGGACAGAGGCACAGAACGGGCTGGTCCAACACCCATGTGTGCCATATTTTTAATTGGGAAGGATATCTCCAAAGCCTCCATGAGAAACAGGGGTTTCCATCCCCACACTAGATCCCCAACCCAGGATTCCAGAGGTGGGAAGAGAAGTCCCTGTAACTTCAGGCTGTAAAAACCAGCAAGAATTGTAGTTAAGAGACACGGGCCTCTTAAAGGGGCCACACATGAATCTACTTAGTCCCGCTTCCTCTGAGTTCCAACTCTAAGTGGTGGCTTTGGGAGAATCCAGTGGCATACAGGGAGGAACTGGACTGTCTGGCATTGAGGTAGGAACTCAGGGGTGGCTTTCTCCCAGTTAATGGTGTTCACAGGGGTCATTATTCCTGAGCTGGGACTTCCCCCATCACAGTGCTGACTGGCAGCTATATCTGAGTTTCCATCAGCCTGGTCCACACTGCTCATTCTATCCTGGTGATTCCCTGAAACCCTGCCTCATTCAATTTGCAGCCCCACTCAAGCTATTTGCGCCTGCTTTTCCATATGAATGGCCAGACGTTGCTAAAATCTCTTTAAAAAGCAGCAGCAGGTGTCAGTGTGTCCCAAACCTATCACTAAAAGGCCCAAGACCCAGAATTAACACCAGCCTGCCTTGCTTCACACCTGGGCCTTGCCTGGGCACTTCCTATCCCAATATAAGTAACAGCCATCTGCAGATCTCTGTGCAGTGGCTAACTTTGCACAGAGTGAAAAGCCCCAGAGCCAGTGTACCTGGTGGACAGCTTCAGACCATAGCAGATTACAAGTGATACATTCAAGGGGCAGACTCAGTGAGCACCAAAGCCCCAGTGCAGCAAATCCTGCTCCATAGGGGTGTCTCCTGCACTACAGCTCTTCCATTGTAAATGGCAGCTGGTCCTCATAGTCAGTTGGCCTGGAGGTCAATCCCTCCCAGTAATGCCAACAGCAATCAAGGCTCAACTACAACAGGAATGTGCATACAGACCACAGAGGGACATACATAGAGTGCCCAGCTCAGGTGACTGGGGAGACTGAACCACTGGGCCCTATAGGACACGTAATACACAAGGCCACTCTACCAACTCAAGGAGACATAGCAGCTCTACCCCAAAATAGAAACAACACAGGGAAGCAGCCAAAATTCAGAGACAAAGAAACATGTTACAAATGAAAGCAATGGAAGAAAATAAGCTACTGGATACAGAAACGATGATTATAAGGTTGCTCAAAGGCCTTAATGAGAGCTTCAAGGGACTTAGTGAGACTTTCAAGGATCTTAGTGAGAATGTCAAAGACATGAAAAAAGACCAGTCAGAAATTAAGCATACACTAACTGAAATAAAGATAATTTACAGGGATTCAACACTAGAGTAGAGGATTCTGAGAATCAAATCAATGATTTGGAATATGAGGAAGCAAAAAAACACCCAATCAGAAGAGCAAAAATAAAAGAATCCAAAAATATAAAGATTGTGTAAGGAGCCTCTGGTACAACTTCAAGCATACCAACATTTACATAATAGGGGTGCCAGGAGGAGAAGAGAGAGAAAGCAAGATATTGAAAACCTATTTGAAGAAATAATGACAGAAAACATCCCCTACCTGGTGAAAGAAATAGACTTACAAGTCCAGGAAGTGCAGAAAACCCCAAGGCCAAAGAGGCTCACACCAAGACACATCATAATTAAAATGTCAAGGGTTAAAAACAAAGAGAGAATCTTAAAAGCAGCAAGAGAAAAGCAGTTAGCTACCTATAAGGGAGCACCTGATTTCTGAACAGAAACTTTGTAGGGCAGAAGGATGTGGCAAGAAATATTCAAAGTAATGAAAGACATGCAACCAAGATTACTCTACCCAGAAAAGCTATTATTTAGAATTGAAGGTCAGATAAAGAGCTTTACAGACAAGAAAAAGCTAAAGGAGTTCATCACCACCAAACTGCTATTACATAAAATGTTGAAGGGTATCCTTTAAGAAGAAGAATAAGAAGAAGAAGGATCCTGGAAGATGGCGGCGATATAGGCAGACGCGTCCCAGGTCGTGTCCCGGAGCAAACGGAGTGAGCAGCTGAAACTAATAACACCCACCCCCAACTGGCGAAAGTGCTCAGCTGGTGAGACGGTTTGCAGCCGGGAAGAGCAGAACTCCCCTGGAAAGGTAAAAAAAACCC